GTTTTAGGAATGTTACCGGGGGCCACGGGTCTGTGGTAGTATGCTCGTACGAGATCGAGTTTGGAGAAAATGCTTGTGTGCCAAAAGGTAGTGGCGAAATCGTGGATATGTGGGATGGGCTACCTGTCTGGGATACTAGCGTTATTGAGAGAACGGTAATCTCCACGGGTCTCTGTTAATAACGTGACGTAATAATTTGTTTCCCTATTCCTCAGGCTAGTTCACCACACTTTCGGGAATGCTCAAGTTTCAAGACTGAACCGTTCTATTTTTTACAGCGCTGACTCTATCTCAACCATTTCTATAGACGATTTGTTTACATTTATTTCTGGACTTGTTGTTGAAATTTTGTCCCACTTTGAACTGAGCAACAATTTTCCCGCATAATTCGTCCAAATGCACGCTGCCCTTAGTGTGCCATCCTGTGTGCCCGCTGGCTATTCGCACAATGAGATTGATTTCTCGAAATCTGCGGCATTTTCAGACTTGCCACTCCATAGTGTAGAATGTCTATGTATAATGCATATGCTCCTGTATTATTGAAAATCCTTTACTATGGCAATTTGTTTAGGTGAACTAAATCCCCAGGTGAATAAACACCGCCGACTGTGAATACGTTACCTGATGATAAAAAATCGTGATTTGTGGAAAAGGTTGACTCACATACAATGAACGTAACTTTCAGGTATTTTTCCACCAGAACAGATTTCCTCGACAGTCTAGAAACAAAATGGCCTTTGGAGATGCAACACATGCATAGGCGCATTCAGCTTTCCGTTTGTCTTGGAGGGAGCCTGCTGCATTTGTAGTACACCCTTTCGTAACGCAAAATAGTGTGGGTGCTTCGATTACTGGATGAACGCACAAATATCACAAAGTTATCCTTCATGTATTCATTTAAGGTCTTCTCAAATGCCGTGAAGGATGAAAACGATACACCCACAAATTTCTCAACGAAAGCCACTTCCGAAGCCATAGCAGACGAAATGCAAAGCCTAATGTGCGCCAATAATTTTCAGAAGAGATCGATTAAAACAAATCGCAAAAAATGACGGCAGATGAGGGGGGTTTTCAGTTTACGCATATATGCAAATAAGTGGCACACAGGAGCCAGCGGCTAGACGCACAATGTATTTTTCTGCAAAACCCCTGCGGGCGAAATAAAAACTTCAACGTCAAAATGTTGCACTTCTTTGCATATATGCGTAGACTGAAAACCCCGCTCATCTGCCGTCATATTTTGCGATTTGTTTTAATGGATCTCTTCTGAAAATTATTGGCGCACATTCGGCTTTGAATTTCGTCTGCTATGGCTTCGGAAGTGGCTTTCGTTGAGATATTTGTGGGTGTATCGTTTTCATCCTTCACGGCATTTGACAAGACCTTAAATGAATACATGAAGGATAACTTTGTGATATTTGTGCGTTCATCCAGTAATCGAAGCACCCACACTATTTTGCGTTACGAAAGGGTGTACTACAAATGCAGCAGGCTCCCTCCAAGACAAACGGAAAGCTGAATGCGCCTATGCATGTGTTGCATCTCCAAAGGCCATTTTGTTTCTAGACTGTCGAGGAAATCTGTTCTGGTGGAAAAATACCTGAAAGTTACGTTCATTGTATGTGAGTCAACCTTTTCCACAAATCACGATTTTTTATCATCAGGTAACGTATTCACAGTCGGCGGTGTTTATTGACCTGGAGATTTCGTTCACTTATAGAAATCGCCATAGTAAAGGATTTTCAATAATACAGGAGCATATGCATTATACATAGAAATTCTACACTATGGAGTGGCAGGTCTGAACATGCCGCAGATTTCGAGAAACCAATCTAATTGTGGGAATAGCCTGGGGCATCCTGTTTTGCCAACTGCCAAAGGTTCAATCTAGGCTTCTTTAATTCCCTTCTTTAATTCTCCTCAAGATTTACTGTTAATTTCCCATAGAACCACGGTCTACTTATCTGTACTCCCTGCCCAAGTCCAATTCAATATGTTGTTCACTGCCCAATTGCGACTACTGAAAAAACGCAGGTGAAGTTCGTACGGTTACGCCGTAATTATTACTGACGGTCCTTTGGTGGATAAGACTACACGTTACCTATCAGATAGGACACCTAGATCGTGCGTTTAGGCTAAGTAACCTATTACTTGCTTTGAGATCGCGGTCTTAGCACAGGATCGTACAGTCTCCAATCCCCTTTAGATTTCTTGGGAGCCATATGTAGGAGTGACGACCAATGAATCGATGAAGGACGGATGATGCCGAGTTCGAACATCTGTCCGAACTCGCGTTTTGCGATTTATAGCTTACCCGGATGAAGTCGATGGGGATTGGTATGAACAGGTGGACCTCTCGTCTGGAGTTGGTGAACGATGAAATGAGTGGCCAGGTGGATGCAGTGACATGGATGAGTAACGGTAGGAAAATCCCCAAGTATATCAGCAAAATGGGAATCAGGTAAGATAACTCGGATACCTGTGGATGAAGTTGGGGCACTAATTCCGTTGACTGAGGGGAAAGTTAGCATGTCCGGGAGACTTTCGTGTCACACATTGACAGGTAAGCTGTAGAGGGCCAGGTAGTCTGCATCAATGATAGGTGTTCGGACCTCTACCAAAACGAAAATCCGCTTGCAGGCACATCGCA